TCATATACATCCACATCAGCCGAGCATTTGCGCTCTCATCCTCCGGTCATCGAACAACGGGGATCGTTTTGCCATCACCCCGACAGCGACTTGGCTGAGACGTCAAGTAAGCTGCTGGCTGGTTCATCAAAATACGGTACGGGGATCGAGTGGATATGTACAGGTTTTCGTACCGAGGATCGAAATTGCCCGTATAAAGCACATGGTGATCCTGTCACGAGAGACCGGATCCACGGGCTTTGGTATTTCCGTTTTCATGATTATCCAAAATGGATTTGAGGGATTATGAATACCGGGAATCGAACAATCAATTTCAAATCCATGAGTTTGCATTTTCAGGTCATGGTTCGGGGTTTTGATTATGAAACGTTCAGCTTATCATTCGCCATGCGATTACTCAAAACACATATTGAAGTCGATGCATTTGCGGTCATGATTACACCGAAATACGCAGCCGCGCATCCGCATTCGCATTCATCACCGGATCGATTTCAGTTCGTTCCCCATCACTGGCTGAATAAGTAAAAGCATGATACGGGTTCATACTGGAGATCGATAGGGTTGAATTTATCGAGGGCGGATTGGAACGCGAAACCAAAGTCGGAACCAGACGAATGAATATCGATTTTACCATTGCCAGGAACATCAGGACACTTTACTATCTGAACTCTTCCATATTCCGATCAAAGCTGGAACTTCATCTTCCGAAGCGATGTACGGGCTGCCACTATTTCATATATAAATGGAATAGAGAGTAGAGGGACTGGTGCTTTCCGTCGCAAGATTACGCGGTGAGTTATCAAACTTCGTACCAGTAATACCAGTACGAATATATGCCGCCGTATGCAATATCCAGACTTCGGGTTTCAGGCTACTTCATCACGTATGATTCGGCAGCAATGCTGGTGCCAAAACGAACAAAACTTATTAAAGGTTCTGTAGCAAAGGATGATGGCTGACCGGTGAGGATCATTCCACAGAACAGGGGCTCCCTATCAAGCACAAAATACGATTCGTGAAGAAACCGTTTAATACGGTTTTGCTGCTTTTCCGGTGATACAACTCCACAACGGACAGTTTCATCACTCAATCTTAAACTATGGCGTTTTCATCGAAATGCGACGTCACTAAAAGAATCCGAATGGTATGTATCGCGATTCGATATTTAACGCATACCGCAACCTGCGAGGTTACGATACTAACCACTATCCACTGATTTTGACGCTTTTGGCACAATACCGGCGGAACATGATAGGATTGCCATTATTCGCGAAGTTTAGGTAAACGTTTTCGCCGATTTAATGACTGTTATCATTCAATAAATCCACAAATCCGTGAAACAATGCCGCCAGAGATTATATGAGATCGAGGAATCGAGATAGCCATGGCTATATCTAAAGACCAGATTATTGAAATGGCATACGTCCGCGCTAATACGTAAGGATCATAACGAGGGCACAGCGACAGGGGAATCAAAATGGATCCAGCCTCTTTTCCATAACACATTATCAAAGCGTTATCTACGTTGTATGGTGGGATTTTCTTACTTTACATATCAGATCAAAGAATAACATCAAATTATCCTCGCCAATAATTTCTTAAGATCCACTTCCCTCCTCGAGATCGGAGCCTCCTGCCTACATATCTCGCCTCTCTGACGGGGCTACAGGGGAAAGCGTGGAACAAAGGTGTGGCCCTCACGTGACAGCTTGTTTGAGCTTTGGTAGTATTGCCTCTTGCCGCATATATTACCCTTGTATCATAACAATTAATCACGCTGGGTAAACAGAAGGAATAGATTGGTCGTGGGTATATCGAGATATTACAAGTCCGCATTGCTACATTCCTTCTGTGTTGTTTCACAAATTGCCTCACAACCTGTTATTAGACTGAATATTACAGGTCACATTACTATATTCCTCTGTGTTTGTTTCTCCGATGCCTCACAACCTGTGTGCATACTGGATATTACAAGAGTCCGCATTGCTACATTCCTTCTGTGTTGTTTCACAAAATGCCTCACAACCTGTGTAGACTGAATATTACAGGTCCGCATTTACTATATTCCTCTGTGTTGTTTCTCAAATGCCTCACAACCTGTGCATACTGAATATTACGAGGATTCTTGTTTCTATGTTTGTTTCTTATTGCTTGGTGGTTACCACCTCACGAAGCCTGGAGTAGACTGGATATTACAGATATCGTTTCTATATTTCGTCCTTGGTCTTTGACAGGTATCACAAAATAGTATTATAATGGATATTACAGATACATATTCTTACGCCGCTTCTATTTGTTACGTTCTTGTTACAGATCCTTGATTGTCTGGTTTGTTTACGTATCGTCGATTACGTGGCTGGAAGTGCTGCTATACGGCTACAGACTGAAGAAAATTTCAGGTAATCCAGGTAGATTTTGTGGATGGCGGATGGTGACGATGGGGGCGGGATAATCTTTCCCTTCCCCGAACATCCTGTTGCCATCACTGATTTTCATTTTCATATAGTTTCCACAGCTAATTTTACCTTTACACCAATTGGAATTGTTTTGAGATAATCAAAGTTCAGATGCCTTCTGCGCAGACGTTCGATGTTTCTCAAATACCTTAGAACCTGTGTATACTGAACATCACCATTTTACAGTTGAATTTATATTATCTCTTGTTGAACTTATCAAAATAACTCACAACCAGTGTATACTGAATATTACAAGTCCACTTGTCTGTATTTTTCTTTGTTGTTGTTGCGAGAATACCTTACAGCTTATTATTATGTGAATATTACAATTACAGTACTAAATTTCCGCTTTGTTATTTCTCAAGTCACAAATTGTGTTTACTAAACATTGCAAGTCATGTTAATATATTCTTTTCTGTGTTGTTTCTCAAATAGCGCACAACCTGTGTATATTGAATAATGCAGGTCACATATCAGAATTTTTCTTTGCTATTTCTCAAATGCACCCCTGCCTGTGTATTCTGTATCTAGCAAGTCCTTATAACTAAATTTCGTCTTTGTTGTTTCACTTGAATACCTTACACTAAGTTTGCATCAAATATTACAAGTCCTTATATCTATATTTCTTCTTTTGTTGTTTGACAGACATCTCAAAACATGTTTTAGAGATAATTCTCTACTAGCTTCTAGCTGACACTGCGTGTAAATATGTTGGGGTTGCAACCTCGTTGATTCAAGACCCAATAAGCTTTCGTAAGACTTGTGAGGAGGAGATAGTGTATGAGGGTAACACAATGTTCTATCAACCCCAAATCCCAAACTAACAGATCAAACAATAGTGCACTTTACTGCTGCTTTGGATCTCCTTTTCTAAATACAATCAAAACTCACCCTACTACTCACTCACCTTAGATTGCTCACACTGCTAAGGATATATAGTTTAAAAGAGGATCAAACATTACTTGCACTGTTGGTGCCAATGTAGGAACTGAACTATAACATGGTCAAAGTGCTATTTAGAGTGTTATTTACATGTATTAGACTGAACTAAAACTGTTTTTACTCTATAAATGTACTATAGTATATAGTGTTTCTAGTGTAGTTCAATATCATAAATGCATACTTATCTTATACATGTGTTAGAATTAATATGGTGGGCAAAAATATTAATGTGTGTGTGAAATGTGGTGGGCAGAGCTGTGAGCAAGTTCACGTACACACACACCCTCCTCCCCCCATACCATTTGTCCGAGACAAAATATCCTTCAGCTTGTAACAAGCGCATATATACATGTTACTGTCATGTAAGGTGTCAAATCAAGAGTGTTCATCTAGACATAATGCTCTGTCTTGTAAGATGTAAAACCAGGTGTTTGCCTGTGGTCCGTACCCCTCACTCAAATGTATCCGACCTGGTGGGGTACAAATACTAGTAGCCTTTCAAGGGTTGTGATACACATTACTGGTCAATTTGTTTGCCAGTTACTCCACCCTACATCCAACTTTATCAACGTAGCACCATTAATACGACCAGCGACAGTTCATACAAAGTAAACTCTCTACAATGTAGTCCAATACTCACCAAGGGCAATGTGTGTTCTGAAAATGGGAACCACTACGTCAGGATGGCCTGTAGATACAAAATGGTTCCATACCTACTGTTAGGGCGGACGGTGCTGAGTCTTGTGTTTTTCCACTGTAAGCTTCACCCGGTGACGAGGGTTAAATACTCCAACGGACATATATACCAAACGTTGATGCCACTACTCACCCTAAGGTAAGTCGAGCTGGACGGAGCTCCCACACAGACAGGTTCACACGTATTGCGCACTAAGGGGCTGGTTTCGTCTCCCAGCTGAACTGGAAGGGAGGTCCCAAAATGTTCATGATCCTGAGACACAAATGGCGTTTTTCCAAACAGGTACCCTGTAGGTATATCTATAGGGCTTGTTTTTCAGCTAATGTTATACTACCATGTACTATGGTTAAAAGGAGATTAAAAGATATGTTGTGTAATAGGTGTAACTGTATCGTGAGTTCTGTGAACAGTGCCGGGGTTACGAAGTGTCCGGAGACGTTCATTCAGTCACTACGTAATGTCCTATATATACCACAACGAATATGTATTAGAGAATACATATATGGATTATAGGTCTCTAATCTCCAATCCACATTTTGTATACACACCCTCAAACACTGACACGCACGTCGCTCTGACCATTGAACGTACCTATTGCCGTCACATATGTAATCAACAATCTCTCTCTGCCGTGCAGGTATATAACATTCATCTCGGTCAGGATATTACTTTGGACACACTATGCTCATACCACAGCTATGTTTAGCACGCTTGGCGAATTGAAGGTCATGATTAGCTATTACGTCCCACATATGAAATCTACTGTGCCATCCCGGTGGCCATAACATACTATCAGGTCTGTATATTACTTTGAGGACATATGCTTTCATACCACGGGTTATGTTTAGCACGTTGACGAATTGGAGTCATGATAGCGTTTAAAATCTAAAGCTCCTATTGGGAAGACACTATCAGCGTTATCATGCACAGACCCACGGGGAGTATATACACTCGGACCAACACATCCGATGGATTATGGCAAAGTGACTTACTAAACGTGTAAGGTAATTATAGCTGACTTTTGTTTGTCTATTTCAGTGCAATCCATCTTATATTAACTAATGTGAATAAAAGTGCCATCAATTATACAATAAAAATCGATACAAAGGCTTGGCTGTTAAAGCGCTCGTCACGCCGAAGACTCTGGGAATATCGTTCGGAGACAATGTTTTTCACAGTGATATACCCCACCGTGATATTGTTGGAATAATGCTAAAATCTTATACACATACTCCTCGTTTGAAAACCATTCTAAATGACAGTGTTGGATATCATCATTCTGCAATATTCATTTTTAAATGAATTATGATTTACCCATTACCGATTTATCATAAAAGTGATATATGTTTTGTCCGTGAGATGAACACACTCAACACCCATCAAATCTATCACAACAAAACAAAACAAACCCGAACAAAATGTATCACAGCCTAACACATAAAGCGTCAGTCAATATTGCTCACCAAATCTCAGTAATGTTTGAACTTTACATCTGATTTACGAATGAGTGTGTTTTTTCTGTTTCCAGACAAGATGAAATGTAGTGGGCACAAGCCGCCGATGCCAAGTCTGATAATTATCATTCTGGTGAATGTGGTTCTGCTCAGCCAATACGGGTAGGATCATTTTAGTTTTAACATAGCATGGGAAGTATACACGGGGGTATTGGTTGGGGTGCTCTGTCTGAGATGTAACACCAGTACACCTGTTATTATCTGTTAGAGACAAAACTTTGGTCACTATTTGAAGACAAAACAGATATCTGACTCTCAAGCAAGGAAAATATATAATACTTTTAAATAACTTAGAAGTTGACTTTTAAGTCCAGGTAAAAGTTGTGCAAAATGTATAATGTTAAATTCAATAATTTCAAACAATACCCTCCTCACGCGTCATCAAGGGAGAAGCAATAAATATGCATCAAGTTGACTAATGTGCAAGTTTATTTGAACCGTTAAACGTTTCATAAAAGCGGAAACATACGAAGCCAAAATATTTTTTACATAAATATTTTTGGCTTAATTCTACAATGAAAGTGTTCAATCTATTTTCAAATAACAAATTCCACACTATATGCTGAGCAATATATCATTAGCAAAATACTGAAACAATTAACCCAATATGTTTTTGCATAAATATCTTAGCTTCATTTCTAATTAGGGTGTAAAATCTATTTTCAAATAACAAATTACACACTTTTTATGCTGTATGCAAATATATATCATGGCAAAATACTGGAAAAAATTAACCCAATATATATTTTACATAAATATTTTAGCTTCATCCTAATAAGAGGTGTAAATCTATTTTCAAATAACAAATTCACACTATATATGCTATGTCACGTATATCATATGTAAAAATACTGAAAAAAATTAACCCAATATGTATTTACATAAATGCTTTTATAGCTTCATCTAATGAGAATGTAAATAAATCAAATAACAAATTTCACACTATTTATGGTATGCAATATATCATAGCAAAAAAATACTGAAAACAATTAACCCAATATGCTTTTACATAAATATTTTAGCTTCATCCTAATGAAAGTGTAAAATCTATTTTCAAATAACCACACTATTTATAATATGCAATATATCATGGCAAAATGCTGAAACAATTAACCCAATATGCTTTTACATAAATATTTTGAAGCTTCATCCTAATGAAAGTGTAAATCTATTTTCAAATAACAAATTCCACACTATTTACCGTATGCAGCATATCATGGCAAAATACTGAAACAATTAAAAGACCAATTTGCTTTTACATAAATATTTTACCTTTTATTCTAATGAAAATATAAAATCTATGTTCAAATTAACAAATTCCACACTAATTATGGTACGCTATAAATCCACGGAAATATTTAATTTTAGCCAAACGTTACATGTGAATTAAAATATATATTCTATGTTTGATTTTTATTGTTATCTGGGTAAATAAACAAGAAATATACAACAAAGATATTTAAAAATTGACAGCACTATATTACAAAGATATGTACACATACTGTACTGTTTCTGCATGTGTCCCTCCTGATAAATTTGTCTTGTAAAATTATGTTATACACCAACCCGTATATATCAAATACAAAGTCCAAAATGATTGGCAGAGCAATAGATAATTTCAATAATGTACTATCGTATATGACAGGTGACACCGGGTGCGTGTCTGAGGCGCGCCGAGTCGTGAAAGCTGGCTGCAAGAACTCCTGTCCAGAAAACCAATATCCCGAGGAATGTGCTGACTGTGTCAGCGGCTTCTATCAGAGTCTGACTGTAGACGGAGATGCCAGGAGGGACATTGTTTGAATGGACGGTGTGCCCTACTGGCCAATGGTCGAGCCGTCAACTGTACGGAGGGTGTGTGTGTTTGGGGTGGAGGGGGTTAACATGTAGTACTTCATGTAAGCGTCCGTGTCTGGAGTGTGACAGATACACAGGGGATTATGTATTGGGACAATGTAGGGGGATGGTTTTATGGACCTGGATGCTAACAGCGATGTCTATATCCATGTTCTAAGTGTGACAAAAGGTCATCAATTTTGTACATAAAAGTATTTAAAGTATACGCTAAATAATTATCACAGGTATCTATATGCTTTATTTGAACAAATGAAATGTGTGTGCGATATATAGATCTAATTCCTGTTTCAGAGCAACGCCAACACATTGCAATGCCGTCAACATCCTTCAGTGACAGATGGACAACATCCCCATACTTTCCAAAAGCAATTGCTGTATTAGCTGCAGTAATTACCTTCATTATTGTCGGTTTCATCTTCCACAGGTACGTATATATACTGTACATCAATTCTGGATATACAACACAATTGCTGGATTAAATACACCCAGTTTACCAGCTACTCGCCATAAATTATGGCTCTTAGCAATGGCCACTGCTGGGGGTTCTAGTGTATGGAATTTTCCAAACTGCACACATTTAGTTTGTAAAGTGTAGCTTTCCAGAGCGCCGTATTAACTATTGTTTGTTTATTGTTTAGCGCCGCCATGTATATGATCTATTATAAATAATTGAATGGTGAGCAGATAATCCAGTGAATAACATCGCCCAATTGGGATACGATGATATGCCACAACCAAATCAGCGAGCCTGGCAACCCGATCCCATTAGTCGCCTCTTTCACACAATTTTATGCCATTTATCCTTAAGGATTTCATTTGACGGCGTTCATGCAGTAACTGTAATGTTGTCGACAGGCGATAAACAACTGATTCGATCTGAATGAAAGACAATAACATGTGTTTTGTTGTTAATTACCTTAGTTACCACTAGTGTGACAACTGCGCAAATGCCGAAAAAGAGTCAAATGAAAGCAATTATGTGAGTACAGTGACAGCCTTAGATGCTATCTATATGATATCGTAGTAAATAACAATATTATTTTCTAATGAAAATTCTCATGATATAAACAGTATAATCATATTCTGTTTCACAGAATGAAGGTGACGATGGAGCAAAAGGGGAAAGAAGTTCAGGTTGTCAACTCAACTCAAAGGGAGGGTCTAATCGGCTCTTATAATTCCGAAGTGACGAGTTTCCATGAACCCGTTTTAATGATGTATCCCACGTGCCTGAAGATTCATAATTAAATACAAGTTATGAATACATTCTGGAGTTTGCTTTCCATTTTCGAAAGGTCAAACGCCCCTGCTTTCTTGATATTGTTGCTCCTCAGAATTAATGGCGTGCTAATAGTATCAAACTTTTCTTCAGATCCGCAAACCCATTCGTTATCTGTTTGAGAATACAAGAGCACTCGTCATATCCTGCATAGATTATGAACATTTCTTGGTGTCTCATCATCAATAATACAGTCTTCAGTTTCTTCCAAACACAGCTGAAGCCCATTTCTGGTGTCCCCCGCCGTGATATTGCTGAAATATTGCTAAAATCCCCGTAAAACCATTCTCACTCACTCACTCCAAACGCATCGTCCCGAATATTGACAAGATGCAAATGAAAGCAGCATATCTCCCTAGTATTTCCAGACACTGGCTTCCCTTTGTTAACAGATCTAATTTCAAAACCTCTCACCTTCTTCCGAGAACTCAGTTTAGAATATTTATCCACACTCTTGTAAAGTCACATATCCCACAACTACAATCACCGTTGCAAACAGTATAAAAAACTGTTACACCAGAAACCACTGTTACACCAGAAACCACTGTTACACCAGAAAACACTCTTACACCAGAAAACACTCTTACACCAGAAAACACTCTTACACCAGACACCACTCTTACACCAGAAACCACTCTTACACCAGACACCACTCTTACACCAGAAAACACTCTTACACCAGAAAACCCTCTTACACCAGAAAACCCTCTTACACCAGAAACCACTCTTACACCAGAAAACAATGTTACACCAGAAACCACTCTTACACCAGAAAACACTGTTACACCAGAAACCACTCTTACACCAGAAACGACTCTTACACCAGAAACCACTGTTACACCAGAAAACACTCTTACACCAGAAACCACACTTGCACCAGAAAACACTCTTACACCAGAAACCACTCTTACACCAGAAACCACTCTTACACCAGAAACGACTCTTACACCAGAAACCACTGTTACACCAGAAAACACTCTTACACCAGAAACCACTGTTACACGAGAAAACACTCTTACACCAGAAACCACACTTGCAGCAGAGACCGCTCTTACACCAGAAACCACTCTTACACCAGAAACCACTGTTACACCAGAAAACACTCTTACACCAGAAACCACTTACACCAGAAACCACTCTTACACCAGAAACCACTGTAACACCAGAAAACACTGTTACACCAAAAAACACTCTTACACCAGAAACTTCTCTTACACCAGAAACCACTGTTACACCAGAAAACACTCTTACACAAGAAAACAATGTAACACCAGAAACCACTCTTACACAAGAAAACACTCTTACACCAGAAATAACTGTTACACCAGAAACCACTCTTACACCAGAAAATACTCTTACACCAGAAAACACTCTTACACCAGAAACCATTCTTACACCAGAAAACAATGTAACACCAGAAACCACTCTTACACCAGAAAACACTCTTACACTAGAAACCACTGTTACACCAGAAACGACTCTTACACCAGAAAAGACTGTTACACCAGAAACCACTCTTACACCAGAAACCACTTAGACCAGAAACCACTCTTACACCAGAAACCACTCTTACACCAGAAAACACTCTTACACCAGAAAACACTCTTACACCAGAAACCACTCTTACACCAGGAACGACTCTTACACCAGAAAACACTCTTACACCAGAAAACACTCTTACACCAGAAAACACTGTTACACCAGAAAACATTGTTACACCAGAAAACACTCTTACACCAGAAAACACTGTTACACCAGAAAACATTGTTACACCAGAAACCACTCTTACACCAGAGACCACTGTTTCATCAGAAAACACTCTTACACCAGAAAACACTGTTACACCAGAAAACACTGTTTCATCAGAAAACATTGTTACACCAGAAAACACTGTTTCATTAGAAAACACTCTTACACCTGAAACCACTCTTACACCAGCAAAACACTCTTACACCAGAAAACACTCTTACACCAGAAAACACTCTTACACAAAAAAACCCACTCTTACACCAGAAACCACTCTTACACCAGAAACCACTCTTACACTCGAAACCACTCTCACACCAGAAACCACTCTTACACGAGAAACCACTGGAACACCGGAAACCACTGTTACACCAGAAAGCGGTGGGTAGGTTCGGGATTTGTTTAGAGGCTGGATGTTTTTACAGTTGTAAATTCAGACATTCTTAGATGATGTAAAATATGAGGGTAAAGATTATGCTTTTGGAAAGAAACAACAACCTTGCAACAAGTATTTCCTCGTTTTCTCGCAGTTTGAAGCATTATATATTTCCAGACCTTTCCAAAACAATTATATATTATTTTCCTTTAGATTCCAGGCCTTTTCGGTAAATATCAAATGTTTGGCTTGACAAACCCTTCCTCCTTGGTTATAGAAACGATGGTATCTAATCATTAAATGTTTGTAATATGGTTAATTTATCATGAATTTAAAAAATAGCCAAACGGTCAAAGTGCTGGTCGATATATCAGAAAATAAGGTATTCCCCCCACAGTTTCTTTCCCAACGTTATGATAAACATCATACCCATGAGTCATTCACCCCACGCGTCGCCGCTTGTTCAGTATGTGACACAGTGCAACGTCCAACATAACACCGACAGATTACGCGATTACCATGCAGGTTAGCTATTCACAAAGCGACCCTAGTGCTGGGATGTCCTAACTTAATCATAGCTTCAATTCAAATACCGTACATAGACAGAACCAAGTTAGGACATCCTATCTCTAGGGTCGCTTTGTGAATACAGGCCCAGGATATAGCGACTTGAGTATATCATGTAGCATAGTGCGTGACATGTGACACATGAATATCGTGCAGCTCAGTATGAGACACGTGTTTATACCGTGTCGACAATATATGACACATGGATATCGGGCAGCGGAATATATGACACGTGTTTATACCGTGTCCACAATATGTGACACATGAACACAAGGCAGCTCAGTATGTGACACGTGTTTATACCGTGTCGACAATATGTGACACATGAATATCGGGCAGCGCAATATATGACACGTGTTTATACCGTGTCCACAATTTGTGACACATGAATATGGGGCACCTCAGTATGTGACACGTGTTTATACCGTGTCGACAATATGTGACACATGAATATCGGGCAGCGCAATATATGGCACGTGTTTATACCGTGTCCACAATATGTGACACATGAATATCGGGCACCTCAGTATGTGACACGTGTTTATACCGTGTCGACAATATGTGACACATGAATATCGGGCAGCGCAATATATGACACGTGTTTATACCGTGTCCACAATATGTGACACATGAATATCGGGCACCTCAGTATGTGACACGTGTTTATACCGTGTCGACTTTTACACCTAATGCAAGTTGGCATACCCAGACTGATTATTCTTTGTCGCTGACGAATTATCTGCTACTAACTACTATCAATGCCTTATAACAGGCGTCATGATCCACATTATTCGTGAATCTTAACTGAATGTCGTGATAATCTAACAGAACACAAAGTTCCTGCATTAATTGTATGAAAGGCGGGTGATAATGGTAGAGAGGAAATTGTTTACCGTTAGCGAACACCTGGTGTCATCACTAAGTCTTAATTTCCGTGGTCCATATATATACTATAAATTTCATTCCTATTTTGAGCCGCCTCCGTGGTGTAGTGGTTAGAGCGTCCGCCCGGAGAGTGGAAGGTCGCGGATTCGATCCCCGACCGCATCATACCAAAAGACGTTAAAATATTGCGCTCGGCATAAATGGGTACAACAAGGACTGGTCGGCTCGGAGACAGTATAATGTGTCTGAGTGGGGTATTCATGCTTCACTGCGGCATGGAATCTCAGTGGGCTAGCACTATAAAACCAGCTTCAGTCTGGGCTAGGACAAGCAGCCGCACAAACACATACACACGCATGCACGTCATCATATGAGCGAAATATTCTCGAGCACGACGTTAAACCCAATTTCACCTCACCTCACCTCCTATTTTGAATTGGGAGCAAGTATCTGATTTGGAGAATTACAGCAACTGATTTGTCAGAGGTGCTGACGTTTTAGATCTGAGCGCAGACTTAAGTTAAATGTCATGTAGAAGTAAAGAAAAAAAAAAACCTATCCATCATTCTGGAACAATTTCAACAAGCCACGCCTCTGGGAAATTGACAAATGGAGAGTTTTTGGTGTAGTTATGCTCTTTTACCTCGCAGAGTGCCGTTGCTCTTCGATTCAACTTCCATAGAAGAAACAAACGCCGTCGTGGTTGCCCACAAATGTCAAGACCAATGTAGTCGAGGCATGCACCTACGACACATGTTCCAACAACCATACAACCGTAGCAAGGACGCCAATGATCGTGACTGGGTTGACGTGAATATGTTGTAAGGTTCTGAGAAGAGATTTTGCAAATGGACGCTTCACCGTTTTTGCAATCAATCCGCCTGTTTCAATACAATAACGCCAGACCACACCGTTCCTGGAGTATCTAATCAGAAGAACATTAATGTGTTACATTGGCCGGCTATAGAATCCATGATTTATGCAGAAGCCACCATGTTCACTGAAAAGGTTCACTCCAAATTTTATAAAAAAAAAACTCTTTTCGTAACGAGTGGAACATGGAATTGCAAATGACTGTTTTGGTTTGAATTGGATTACGCAGACGAAGATTGATAAAATAACGCCAGAACAATGATTGCACACTGTGGCGAGACGAGACATTTTTAAAGTAATTATCCTTGTTGTTTAGCTATAGGGTGCAGACACATATTCCGCATTTCGCTAATATCAGCTATCAATTCACTGGTTCTTAGGAAATAAAATAGGTAAAAATTATGTGGACAAGAATCTTTATTGTGTACATTACATTTTGTATTGTGTCGGCATTGCCGTTTCATAAAAATATACAAACAAAATAGTCTTTCCACAATCATAAAATATCCCGTTACAATTTCAAATTGTCATTTCATTACCTTCAAACTTTGATACATAAAGGAAACGACATGCACATGTTTTTTCGCAAACACCTGATATCATCACTATTTGAGGGTAATGTTATACTGGACAAATTTTTTTTGGAGATCAGTTGGAGGGTGAGAATAACAAACAGCTCTTTGTACGGATTTGTATGGAACTGTGTAATCCCGTCCAAAAGAAACATTATGGCCATAACTTCAGGTTCACAAACACAAATTAAACGACAAAGAACATAAGAATAACTATGGTAAGCATTATGATTTCAGCAGTTAACATTATTTTCAAAATTGAATGAGGTGGAATTGAAGCCACTTCAGGCAGTATTTCAGTTATATATTGTCAGCTTAAAGTGGGAGGAAACCTAAATTAGGATATATTTTGTCTGATACCCACAAGTACAGGCACTGTTCTGACAAACCTAGAAATATAGTAGCAAACCGAGATGTAATCCTTCGACCATACACACCATCTCAAAATTAACATTAGTTCTGGCTTCAGTTTTACTTTAAAGGGGGTACACACAATGTATATGCTATTCATTACACTTATATATCATGATTCCTGTGCAGGCTATGATAACGATAAACAGTAATGGTAACACAATGAAACCTATACGACATATCCAGGGACTTGCACCAAAGGTCACACAAAAGGACTCAGTCTGTTTGACTTCAGTCTGGCCATCGCGTAAAACATATTCACAGCACTTCCTCAGTCGTTGCATGTTTTTCTGAAATATATAAATGAGACGCCTTTAATAGCTGTCTTCATGTCATGACCTGGGGAAAGGTGAGGGAGTGAACTTAGTTTTACGTCGCTTTTAGCAACATTCAAGCAATATCACGACGGGGGACAGCAGAAGTGGGCTTCACACATTGTACCCATGAGGAGAATCTTCGGCGTGACAAGCGGACGCTTTAACCACAAGGCTACTCAACAGCCCCTCTGAGGAAAAGGCATCAGTACATTAAAATGTGGATCCGGACTTCACATACCTTGTTCTTAACTAACCCCATTCTCTCACATGCAAGACGTTTTGCACACTCATTCAGGTCTTCCTCAAACCCTTCACTTGTCTTTATGCCCATCATGCAATCCAGAATGCAGTACACAAAATTTGGGCCCTCGCCTTCGCTGAAACAAGATTTTGCTATTTTCAATTTAAGGATAGCATGGAACATCACTATACACAAACAACAATATAAGGACTGACCTTCTTTTCTTATATACAAATGTTGGTAAAATCATTTGATTATGAATGGTCAATTGGAAACTTTAAACCAAATGCTGAGGTAAGGTTGCTAAAATGATATTATTTGTGGTAGAATATATACTAAAATATCAATAATATTTGATATTTTAGGAACCTCAGTTGGTTTAAACATGTGTATGTTTGTGTGTATGTATCGGTTTACCTTGAACAAACTACGATTGGTCTTGTAAGGTATTCAGGATTTTCCCTGACATTCTTCGTGAACTCGCAGAAGCATTTTTCGTCAAACCATTTGGAGTGGTGGTACAGATAAGTTGTCTTCGCCTTGCCATTCTGTGACAGCTTGTAATCAACAAAACGTAGCGTGGCAATGACAAAATACATGCATACTTATATCGGAGTATATTAATGAAATATGAACTAAAGTGTGCAAAAGACAAATAATGATTTGGAAATCGAAGTCATCCCACTTATCATACACAATGGTACAGACACTGCCATCCTTTGAATGCTCATGCACAGGCCCATATAAAACAGACCGTGATTGGTCTACAGAGACCCATGCTTGTCGTATGAGACGACTAACGTGATCGCGTGGTCAGACTCGCTGACTTGGTTGATACATACCATGGTATCCCAACTGCTTGGGTCGATACTCATGGCAATCACTAGATTTTCTGCTCCAGACTCGATTATTTACAGACCAGTATTGCTGAATGCGGTGTTAAACACTACACTACACTACACTACACTACACTACACTACACTACACTACACTACACTACACTACACTACACTACACTACACTACACTACACTACACTACACTACACTACACTACTCTACACTACACTACACTACACTACACTACACTACACTACACTACATAAAACATTATATATAACATTATATATTATAAAAAAATAGCCTCAGCTTTCCAACTTCAGTTTGTAGATGGGGCGAGGCAAAGAGCAAACTGGGAAGGAGGGAGAAGGGCACAGTTTGTAGCCACGGGGATACGTACAAATTTTCTAAACGTTCTGTCCCCCAAACTTGAAAACAATATTATTATGGAATTCAGTAACTCACATATTTCGGTTTCTGAATGATACTGAATAGAAATACTTTCATTCTTAACAAACTGACATCCATTCAAATAATTCGATCAAATTTGCTAACTCTTTTCTTGGAAACAAAAGCCCTGTTGATTACAGAGTCATTGTCATCAGTCATTTTCAGTTGTTCATACTTGAATTTTGACACAGGGAGCCTATTCTGACGGATACTCAGGATTTTCCTCTGTTTTCTTGCATTTACTTTTACTGGTTCGATGTTTTTGCAGATGGACTACGCTTATCGAGTTTTAACAGCTCAGTAGCGTTTATCTTAGTTTGTCATTCAGTCCCTGAAACATATGCCCAATCTAGAACATGTGGCAAGTCCAGATTACCACAGTTTCTGAAAATGAAGAAATTCTCTCAGCTCCCTGAAACATATGCCCAATCTAGAACATGTGGCAAGTCCAGATTACCACAGTTTCTGAACATGAAGAAAGTCTCTCGGCTCCCTGAAACATATGCCCAATCTAGAACATGTGGCAAGTCTAGATTACCACAATATAGAACAAACTTTATGGATAACAACTTCTTTTTATTCGTGAGTGCGACGTTTCGATACAGATTCTTGTACCGTTGTCAAGCATAATGGGACATGAAGAGGGAGTGTATATATACTGGATGTGACAATGTGACAAAGAAAACATGTCCCATTATGCTTGACAACGGTACAAGAATCTGTATCGAAATGTCGCACTCACGAATAAAAAGAAGTTGTTATCTATAAAGTTTGTTCTATATTGTACTTCCCAACTTCTAAAATGCCACTCAAAGAAGTTAGATTACCACAGTTTCTGAAAATAAAGAAATTCTCTCGGCTCCTTTTTATTATGTTTTATTAACATAAGTTAGAAACAAAAAAGGGTCGAGACACATTGAAACTGCTTTTAAACTTCAGATTTTTTTTCTCAACTTCCAAGAAAATCTTTACTTTGTGAATATATTGTATCCCCATGTGATAAACTCCGGTTGATGAACTCATGCTCTGGCACTGTCATGTTTGGCCTTGCCTGATTATGTCAGAAGTATTTTTTGCAGTTTTTGCAAGGATTTGGCAGTACTATGTACTGTGTAAATGTTGATTTCTACTTGATACCATATCGATGCATAAAATAACAAGCAAGTACATAAAGAATTAGTTTACCGTTAATGGCCAAAGTTCATAACTGTCAAATCGTCTTCTAGGTTCAACGTTGCGGAGGGGACATGAATGCCAAAAACTCAGATATCTCTCAAGCTGAAAAATGATTAATGCAAGAAAGTATCTGTATATATACGTCATATGTATGCGTCAGATATGAGGATGAAATATTTAGGAAGTTAATATAACAATATGAAAATTAAAAAATCCAAAAGGGTTCATAAGCAGACGAACAGTTACCATTTCAGCGCTTGTATGTGCAAGCAAATGATTCTATTTCTGGAGTTCTGGAGTTAAACATGCGTAATTAAGCAATACACTATAATGTTGACATTACTACTGAATCGAATGTTTTCTGGACTATGTGTCCCATTAAAGAAAAGACAATCTTCTTGAAATAGCACATACCTCGTGCTTTCTATTAGAAGATATGAAAACAATCACTTTGATGTCTTTTTCAGTAACCATCCTCAGAAATTGTTCATCAAGTTCTTGCGTGTTGGGAACTAAATAGAAGAAGGACATACATTTGTCGAATTTAAATCAAAACAGCAGGTTGGTACGTGTAAAAATATATAGGATGCATTAGTTGAGGACGCCTTATACATACTGGTCTTCATTTGAAACACTTCTGATATATGTTTTGTTCCAAATAATTAATACGTTAACGTTAAAGAAGAAATAGGGTGTTGGTGATGTAGAAAATTGAATGTTTCAACGTACGCTGAGTAAGTATGTATCTGTCTGATCCGTGAATTCCCTGGAATGAGAACATTCACTGTTTGATTGTACATGGAAATAAACTCACCATAAATGGATTACTAGTTCAGTTGTTAATCTTTGATTTTATATGAAAAGATAGCTATAATCTGCACCCCACGCCCAGGTTATGTTTTATGTTGAGTTTCTTTTCAATTTAAGTACATATCATCAACTTTTCTGCATTACAAAAAACATTCCATGTTAAAAACACGTTTACTCTTGGTAGATACCGTCAAGGGATAAGCATCGATTGATTCGTCAAGACAAAGATCTATTTTAGGAGGTCCTGGAGATGAATCCCAATCTGAAAATATTAACAGTCTCATTGATATCTGACACACGCACTCTTCGTGTTTAGAGGGGTTGTCATGTATAGTTAACAGCTGAATGCGCTCATACACATTTTCCACGAAATATCTCTTCACTAAATGTGGATATGTATAAAGACAAATTCCGTGCATCAGAGTGATGACATTAAACACTTCAATAGTTGTCATTTCAAAAATCCGTGAACAATTCCATATTTGTAATATATTTTTGCACTTGTGCCTTGCATCAATAAAAATGTGACAAGTGGGTTTAACTGAAACAATCAAAGTAACGTATTTAAACAAATTGGAGATTATAATACCTTTGTTTGTCGGTCTTTTCTTTGAGTAGTGTTTCCATGCCCAAACCACCACAAAAGATCATGACACATATTATTGCCAGAAACAGAATAACCATCGCAGGGATATTACCTGGTGAAATATAATAAACGCGTCACAATTTGATACTGGAAACCCAAAATTCAACATGCAGTTTTCATGAATATATGATTCCGATGAAAGAATGAAATTATTTTTGTTCGAAAACTTAAAATTCATGTTTTCATCCTGATCATATTTTCATGACAACTGCATGTTGAATTTTGTCAAACCCATTGTCAAACCCTTTGTCAGAAACCGGCCACAGTTCGGAGAGTTTCTGGACTTTTGGGTTTCCAGAATTCAATTGTGACGTGTTAAATGCATTGGCACAAAAAAAATAGTAGAATCATTATATATTCAATGTACACATGCTAATATAACTTACACAGCGAGCTTATGTATATTTAACGTTTTGTTTGATAATATGGCTGCTAACGTTGTAGCGTTGTCTGAATTCCGTGGAAACACGGCAATTTCATGCATGTTATTTTCATGTAAACATGGTATGGGTAAAATTCGAAATTTAAACTCAATTAAGTGTCTGTCAGGTCAGGAACGGCTATGATTTTGAAAGTGAGCCCAGAAAATTGGACACCCCAAAACATATATGTTTTATCATGATATTCCCCAGCACTTTGCAAAGTTTCATGCTTTAGTGCGGCATGTAACGATCAACCTCAAAATCGGACCTAAGCCACTGCAGTAATTAGCATGTTGAACAAGACAGAGCATTATGGCAGGAGCTCTTAACATTTCGCAGTCAAAAAAATTAGCGTATTACGATCACAATATCGATAGATGTTGATGACAGATGTCGATTTGGGCGACCAAGAGCGAAAACTGGCGCACAATATCGTTTCAGTAATACAAACGAAACCGTGGTGCTTCTTAAACTGGTTCACGATTGACAGTCCGTCACAGTACTGCAAGACGCCAGTGGAGTCAAGGGCGACAGCGCTGGACCATTCATTTATCGTTGGGCAAACGTTATGTTTTCGGACGAATCAAGGTCTATTTTTGACTTGATTCACATGTCCAACAGAGTGCGGCGTAGACGCAACTAACATTTTCATTTTGACAGAACGGTTGTTTTAGGGTGACTCAGTATTGGTGTGGGGTGGGAACACTGTGACTGGCAGAACACCTTTAAATGTTATTCACAGACGTGTCGATACAAATTACGTGACGTGACATATTGGGTCACACGTGTTGAAAATTTGCTCGCAGACACGGACATTGTTTTGTGTTTCAAGATGGCAACTCAAGAGCACACAGGGCTCGTATTATTACTGAGTGCATAACCACCATCACTCAATCCAGATTTGTCACCCGTCGAACATATCTGGGATATCCATGGAGGACGCATACGTTGTCGTCAACAACCACCGATAGTACATACATTTTGCAGAAGGGACGGAATGAAATGAACCAAGTTGACACTGGATGTTTGATTAGGAATTTGCTTCGCCGAATCTGGAATTGATTCTAATATGATTCACAAGATAGTAATGAGTTTCTCTTTTCATGGGAATGACGTGACCTGTAACGCGCTTGGGCCAATAAAGTAACAAAATCTATGGTCATTTGAGATTCAACGGCTAATGCAAATCTCAGTCAGAGCTTCCTGTTACACTGTTTATCTATTTATCTCACTAAAGATATATAATATCAAAAGTTGTGAGACTTTATTAAATACCCCCTCCTTTCTTTTATTAAAAATATATTATACAGCAACACTCAATCTAATTGCATAAGGATTGACCTGGGCAAATAGTATCATGAATGTATCTATTGTAAGCAGTTTCTTACTGGCTGTTTCTTTTTAATGCATGAAATTGCTAGAATAAGTACCTCAAAATGGCTTTAACAACACTCTACTTACACTTTTTGACCATCTCAGGACAATGTTCACATTCACAAAAGTAGCCATAATGACCAGCCTTACATCCAGTGCACTTGCAATCATCGAAATTACAATCCGTACAGTATTTTCCGCACGCCGTGTTGCAGTGGTTCATGGGTAAACAATAACGTTTGACGCACCCATCACTACAGTGCCCTGTAATTCTTTTACAGAGTTTTGTTCGTCCTTCGCTGTAGCATTTACTTGAACAATTCAATGTACAGTTTTCTCCGTACATCCCATCTTGACAATTTCTGCAAGAGCAGTTGTCCTTGTGGCAGTCATAATCACAAGTACCGATACAAGATGATGTGCAGTCCTGTCCACACTTGCCTTGTGGACATGAAGCATAAGACCCAGCAAAAAATGTCACATATATACTCATGCCAATAATGGTTGTCACCCCCTACGCACCCCAAGCCCACACACACCTCACACCCCCACCCCACATCCCCTCTCCAATTAAAAAGATTGAAGGGGGTGTCAACCATTATTGGCATGAGTATATATCGAGTTGAAAAAATGTCAGTGTTATTCTCTCGTATCTTGCCTTGTTGGTGCAATGACGTTTACATACATATTATGTATACAGGTTATATGTTCTTTCACAGTTGGCAACGAACTGACATGTAGTACCTGTAACGCGCTTGGGCCAATAAAGTAACAAAATCTATGGTCATTTGAGATTCAACGGCTAATGCAAATCTCAGTCAGAGCTTCCTGTTACACTGTTTATCTATTTATCTCACTAAAGATATATAATATCAAAAGTTGTGAGACTTTATTAAATACCCCCTCCTTTCTTTTATTAAAACTATATTATACAGCAACACTCAATCTAATTGCATAAGGATTGACCTGGGCAAATAGTATCATGCATGTATCTATTGTAAGCAGTTTCTTACTGGCTGTTTCTTTTCCATGCATGAAACTGCTAGAATAAGTACCTCAAAATGGCTTTAACAACACTCTACTTACACTTTTTGACCGTCTCAGGACAATGTTCACATTCACAAAAGTAGCCATAATGACCAGCCGTACATCCAGTGCACTTGCAATCATCGAAAATACAATCCGTACAGTTTTTTCCGCACGGCGTGTTGCAAATGTTCATGGGTAAACAATAACGTTTGACGCACCCATCACTACAGTGCCCTGTAATTCTTTTACAGAGTTTTGTTCGTCCTTCGCTGTAGCAATTACTTGAACAATTCAATGTACAGTTTTCTCCGTACATCCCAGCTTTACAATTTCTGCAAGAGCAGTTGTCCTTGTGGCAGTCATAATCACAAGTACCGATACAAGATGATGTGCAGTCCTGTCCACACTTGCCTGTTGGACATGAAGCATAAGACCCTGCAAAAAATGTCACATATATACTCATGCCAATAATGGTTGTCACCCCCTACGCACCCCAAGCCCACACACACCTCACACCCCAACCCCCATTAAAAAATTTGAAGGGGGTGACAACCATTATTGGCATGAGTATATATCGAGTTGAAAAAATGTCAGTGTAATTCTCTCGTATCTTGCCTTTTTGGTGCAATGACGTTTACATACATATTATGTATACAGGCTATATGTTCTTTCACAGATGGCAACGAACTGACATGAAGTAAATGTTTGAAACTAATAGTCTGCCCACGTACCTAGTACGAAGACAAGGATCAGTCCCAATCCAGCATAGACCATGATGCGTCATTGTTAGCTGAAACAAAATGATAAACTGTCTGATAAACAAGAACTATAGTTTGGCATGAAATGCATGTGGACCCGGTTTTTTGTAAATATCTCTTCATCCAATGACCCAATCGATCTCAAACTGTGCAAGTGGATGTTTTGTCAGACAACCTAATCACATTGTAAATCACCGATTTTATGCATTTGTATTAAAGAATCTGTCTATGTAACTGTCAACAAAATAAACAGCAGAACGCAGAAGGCTTGCAGAGGGAGGGAGCCAATGACCTGTAACAGCGGTAGTGTGGGGTCATAAAGGTAAATGCACATGCAGTTCATGATAGTTACCTGTGCACACACTGCACAGTGATGGACCGTTTGGATCATTCACATTGACTACTTCTATCTGTCATCATGAAAGCTTATTCAGATGATGCTAAACGTTTAATTAGCAATGTGTTTAATGTTTTTTAAAAAGAGAGCAAACGTAGCGAACCGATTTATAAGGTGTCGGATTACATGAAACGTACAACTTTCGCTCTTGGCATGAAAAAGAACATCGTGCTAACAATTGTGAAAAATAAACCAACAACCAATAAACAAAACCTTGTGCAAAAAGGTAGGCATCCAAAGTTATATTCTTTTGACATCAGGGTCATCAGCATAGCTGACCTACATTGACGAACGTTGACCTTTATGACCCCACACTGCCGCTGTTACAGGTCATTGGCTCCCTCCCTCTGCAAGCCTTCTGCGTTCTGCTGTTTATTTTGTTGACAGTTACATAGACAGATTCTTTAATACAAATGCATAAAATCAGTGATTTACAATGTGATTAGGTTGTCTGACAAAACATCCACTTGCACAGTTTGAGATCGATTGGGTCATTGGATGAAGAGATATTTACAAAAAACCGGGTCCACATGCATTTCATGCCAAACTATAGGGGTGATCTGTTTTGAAGTGTTGTCAGTGAACACGGGTTTAATCGTGTGGTGATTTAATGGATGTGATCGCGATACCTGGAAGGTTCATATATATTATACAGCTACAGCAAAAAGGGGCATACATTGACATATTTCAGTTGTTGTCATTCATCAATGGGTTAGTTAGAATTGACAGACTTTGAAAGTTCAAATAATGTTTGCATAATGATACACGCTATGTAGTTTAGTGCTACACAAAGCTTGGTCGACATTCTTGTCCAACATATCAAAATTACAAAATAGTTCCTCCATTGATAATTGTCATTTCGCAATGTGGGAATGAGTTTGTATCTTTAACCGTCCGGTATTTAACATGTTCAGACAATTTACACGGTTAATGTTACCTAGTTATTTTTACATCTGTATGGCAATATTTTGTACATACATTACGCATGTTGATTTCCTTAGATACAGTATCTTGGTGGTCAGAACTACAATAGTCTGTAGGGGAAGTAAACCCCCAATGTTCAAACCTGAGCTATATGAGCTAACCTTCACGAAGATCAATAGAGCAACACACTTCATTGTTGTTACTTGTCGCATTAACTGCGCAATGAACAACAATGACAAAACAGTTGAGAATCAATAATCTTGAGCGTGAATTGCGGTAGTTATGACACAATATCGGCAAGATCAACACCATGGGACAAAGTACAAGGCTTGATGCGTTGTACTGAATAAGCCTTTTCCTTTAGACAAGCAGAAAATATTCTGGGTCCAATAAACACTTCCATGTAGGGTATACTTTTCATGCTAAAAATGTATGTACTATTTATAACATGTTTTAATGTATTGTTACCGTTGAAAGCTAAAAGTATGAATGTGAATCTATTATCATCATTTAAAAATGAATACCAAGACGTACTGTTACGTGTCGGTTATTCATCATATCTCCTCCAATCAAACGGTTAAGATACAATTGCTGTGTAGGCCGCAGTTATCCTGGTAAATCAGTTTTTACCTGATTTAGGTGCGTCACGACAAAACTACAGGTTTTCCATCAAGCTTCGTGCGAAATCCCATACAGGGAAGTGAACGCGCAACCTCGCTGACAAAGCGTGACTTCCCCTCAACTTCCCCATGAAAGCATGGTTATACCAGATACATATTACAGATGAACAATGTGTAGGATTTAAATGATCCAATACCAACTATTTGGACCTGAGGAAAGGTTTATAGTCAAAGAAAAGGGAAAAAATCGTCACGTCCCTGTTGTTTAACTCTGACTTCGTCGATGAAAATCTACCCTTGGATTATTCATCTAAGTTTCCATTAAGTATATGTTCTCATTAACAGTTTGAAAAGTTTATACAAGCACAAGAAACGTTTCTTTGTGGAAACGAGGCTTCCATTACTCACCTTCCGTTGCCAATTGTAGCTATAAGTGACTCAAAGAAAGTACGTGGATCAAACAAAGTTGATCACGTCATTCCTCGGAAATGGGACAAAAATAGTTCCAACTACACGTATAACAGAATGTGTCTTGTCTTACTGAGGCATAACGTCACACTCTCTGCCCATGAATTACACCTCTGGCTGTATACAATATACACACTTGTAAATAAACAGGAACAATTTTCACGTCGCCAGGTGAGTCTTCGTGTAATAGTGGTGTACTCAATCCCTTTGACCTATCTTGATGCTTAACACATACTCAGTATGTTGATATCTGCCTGCTGTTATCATTCCAAGAATCCAAACAGCAAAATCATTACAGAATATTAGGATTATGACTGATTCATTCATGTATTCAAAGTAAAACTGTTCGATGACAACAGTTAACGCAATGATGGTGTAACGTCTGTAATAGGTGGGTCATGTAATTCTCAGAAACAAGTCTCTTCTCGGAATTTCTCCACGCAACAAACATGTTAACGATTAGCTGCAGTAACACTGGAATCTAAAAATAGCAATGTCAGTAAGACTGTAGAGTAGTGTAGGAAACGACTCAGACACTGAGGCAGACACTTGATACTGGCATAAGCAAGATTGACATCACCCACATAAACAATACACACGGAGTTAAAAAAGAATGTATGTATGCATGTATGTATGTATGTATGTATGTATGTATGTATGTATGTATGTATGTATGTATGTATGTATGTATGTATGTATGTATGTATGTATGTATGTATGTATGTATGTATGTATGTATGTATGTATGTATGTATGTATGTATGTATGTATGTATGTATGTATGTATGTATGTAGCATTTATTCCAGCAAAATATATTTGAACATTTATAAATTAACATGTATTGTTATATTGCACAAAACGCCGATCATGTTTGTAGCTATATCTATAGGCTTGCAATAGCACTCGATTATAAGGGTTAATCTGAGCAAACTAAAGTCCGAGTTCCCAATCAAATAACAGTTGTTACAAATGTTAACTTGTTGTGTGTATTTGAAACTCGGGGTCTTTATGTTGTTGTGGTTTTCATTCTTGTTGTAATTTCATTATATTGGCGTCACTTCATTCTTTACAAATGCTTTTAGAAATTATTATCATATACCGATGCAATGGGACATGTTGCACATAAACGCAAAACATGTTGCAAATAATAGAACAAATTTCAGTACAGGAATGAGGAAAGATTTTTTATATACTTCCTCAAAACACAGAAAAACAACAACGGCAATGCAATGGTACTTCGTCCACAACAACATTTTAAAGCACACCTTTGTTGGGAATATGCCAGCACGATAGCTCAGAGTAGCCGGACAACAATATTCGATCGAGCCGAACATATAATGTTTAAAGTTAACCGATGTCAATAATCTGTGAGGAACAGGGTTCTGGATAGGAATTACGCGTTTATATGCATTATTGCGAATCACACTGAAGTGTTTGCTTGGTGTACCAATTATTGCTTGTAATGAAACACAACAGGAATAAGGGGACGTGACGTGACCTGTTCTGTACCCGACACCGCGCTATGTCCACAGATAATTATCACATTGCATTTGTCTAAAAATGCTAGATTGATATTAAACTGACTTAAATGGAATTTTAACCTGGAACTACCTTTAGACTGATTTAATGCTATTGTGGCCTTCAATTTACTATCAGTAAGAAACTACGCAATGGATAGACCATTTCTGGGAATGTGGTTTCTTCTCAGCTTTGCCAAATGATTTCACGTTAAGTGGAATCTGTTTTTCTGGATGACCAATGAATACTTTTTGTATCAAAGTTATGGACCTTAAAGGTGGAAGACTATTGTCTTCCACCTTTAAGGTCCATAACTTTGATACAAAATGTTTTCAATGTAATAATATCAAGCAGTATAAATGAGTTGAAAATGTTGTGTTACCAAACAGCCAATATCCTAAATCCATAAATTTCATGATATAAAATCCCGTTAACAAGAGGATTAAACACTGTGAGTTTTTTTCGTAATGCAATTGAACGTTTACAGATAGTATGCTCTTACTTTTTGACGGAAAGGAGTTGTTCTCTTTTGGAAGAAGCCGGCTTAAACAATATTGTGACCTTCGTTGCATTAAGTTTTAACATTATTTATTGTATTTAAAACATATATAATATTGTATACCTACATATACAAGATAGCAAATACGACAGAAACAATAATTTCTAGTATGGTAACAATGCCAAAACAATAATGTATAACATCTAACGTATACAACAATAACATCGTCGGCTTAAATCAACGATTTAAAAAATGTATCATTTCATTAAATGTTAAATGTATATACGCTCATTATACTGCTAACTATATGCATGTGTGTGCCTGCAGTTCAGACCTAAGACGTTTGGGCGTAATTTAGAAAGCCTAGGACACGATGACTTTGTATGTCAGAAACCCCCTGTGATACCCGAACGTTGTAAATATCAGCCACAGTATGTGTTGCTGCATTGCGTAATATCAGTCATGTGACTTGTCAACGATCATGCGTTCAGGCAGGTTATACTGGCTGGTTATAATAAACACACGCTATAAGCGCCAAAAATAACCGTAGCTGTGTCGACAATGGATGACAGAAGCATTACTATTACCAAAGCTTGTGTAATAGTAATACTCACAATCTGCAATCTAGGTGTCTCCTAGAGGGGGTATTCGCGTTAAGGCGACTTTTTAGTTTCAGGTATTCGCGTTAAGGCGACTGGCGAATGAGCACTCCCAGAGTAGTACCGAGCCTAGTAAAGGTAAGACATATTTTTTTCTATCAAAACCAAAGAGTCGTTCGAGGGACCTTGTCATAGTTAGCTTTTCTTTTCTTTATCAAACACGTATATTTCAGACAGACAGGCAAGTTTATTCAAAATGTATATTTCGCAAGAAAGACAAGTTGAAATAAACAGTAAGTGAAATTGTAGCGTGTTATTAACGTTGTTTCAGACGGTTACCAACGACAAATTCAAATGATAGCATCTGCACACTTGCTCTACAACATTTGAATGACCATACTAGTAGGTCAAGGTTACACAGAGGGGAAGAGATACTTAATAAGGGGAATTTCACATTGTATAGCAGTTACTGCTGTAGATACAAAATATTGGAAAAGGTAGCTAACATTTTATGTAGCATTTCTGACCAAATCCAATTCTAAACTTTTAAATTTTCCATTAATACACTAACATTTTAAAACATAAATAGGTCAACATGTAAATGACAGGTTTACCATTCCATAACGTAAATTTACTCAAAGAGAGTAACATGAAACGTAAGATATATAGGTGTACGTGCCATTGCATCAGGATAGAGTAAGTACGCAGAGAAGACCAAACAACAAAGCAAACATGTGAATGTCATGTTTTGAATACAGCTCTGAAACACAAGGATTTGGTTCTTGGTATACTATTCCCAGGACTGTTGGTTCATTAGGGTCGTGTCCAAACATTAATGTTTTTGAAACATCAAAATAACTCTGCTTAAAACTCATTTTAATATATTTAGTGTGTTGTTAGCCGTATTCCATATTCCATTTGGCCATATCTGCAGCAAGATGATGTTCTGCAAGAATAAGTCAATGAACAACCTATTTCTGAAAACTGTACAACGACAGTGAGTAAGAACAGTATTTTCTGGCAACCGAGTAGACACACACAGACACAGACACACACAGACACAGACACAGACACAGACACACACACACACACACACACACAAACACAAACACAAAACATACATACATACATACATACATACATACATACATACATACATACATACATACATACATACATACATACATACATACATACATACATACATACATACATACATACATACATACATACATACATACATACATACATACATACATACATACATACATACATACATACATACATACATACATACATACATACATACATTCATACATACATACACACACACAAAACATACAGATATACATACATGCCTACATACATATACACAGACACACACAGACAAGCACACACATATATATGTATATACCAAAATGCAGTTTTGATGCTAAGACATATACAGCAATGGAGCCACAAACCTTCATTTGACAAATTGATTAAATGTGGTATTGGGAAATACAGCTACGAAGTTTTCTGTTGGTTATGTATTATATATTTACAAAGTGAGATGTCACTTTTCAAGTTTTATCGATCTTGAAAGAGTGCAAATTACAGCCGATACTTCTTTATATGGCAAAAATCGATTAGTCATTATTTATAATTGATTAAAGAACAACCAAAACAGTGAAATAAGAGAGTTTATGTTAATGGAGATTAACCTGGACTGTATAACATTGGTTAAAACTGTAAAATAATGTAGTCGAGTTGGTCATAGGGAATTATAAAATGCCAGAGAATAGTCACTCTCGAGTTTCTTCTAAATAGAATCCACAAGTTTGTAATCAAACTAGGTGATGACAAACATACCCATATCATCTGTCAGTATTGCATTTATTTTTACTCCACACAGGTATTCCGGGAACAGGTAATGGTCGATAACACCTCTAGTTTACTGCAAGCTAAATTTAGACAGATTTTTGTAATCGATAGTGCTTTCTGAACTTCACTTTCAATCAAAATTACAGGTTCGGCCTCAACGGTGAAGTTAATATCGTAGCTGCATAAATTCAAAGAGGACAGATGTTTCGGGTTGATATTCCAATACAGGATATGCTGATCGGATAGACACACTGAGTTGTGTTTATACAATCATCGTTTCTTACATTAAATCATTGACCAGAGTACTGTTGACTTTCAAAATGATAAATCCAATCCATTATAACTGTTGATTATACGTTTCATTAAACCCCATCTGATTTAAAACATCATATCAACTTAACTTACCCCAAAGCTACCGAGTATGCAGTTTTCACGCGTGGTTGTAGAGCGGCGATAGTGAGTTATGAGTGATAGTGAGGCGATAATATCGATTCCACCCAGCATGCTCTACTATGCCGGAACAATACGTCACTGTATTATGTTACAAGGATATACACAACAACAACATGTAATGGCCGAGGCGATCATTGAGAAATATTCAGTGGTAATCATTCCTGTATTTACAGGTAGGAACTGATGAACTATTACCCTTTTCGATGTACATGTGTAGTTTCCTTACGTGTATGGCAATTATACATAACAATGGCATTACATTGGTTTCACATATTGGATAATGTTGTCGACAATTTGTGCAACCAGATTGCACTCAAACTGTAATGCAACCATGCATTATGATGAAGCCACGGTGTTATTGCAGTTGATTCTAAGACAAGAATACATTCTGTAGTAATTATGCAATCGGGAGATATATCAGAGTCAATCATTGTTGATAAGATAATAATGAATACTTTGAGAGTACACCATCACTTGCACTTCCTTATGACCATAGTGGGCCAACCATAGTTGTTTCTACAGAAATCGCTCTTGAAAGATACTTGGCGTATAACGTGAAATTTCCATGTGTACGATTTTCATTTCCAAAACCAAACCAAACAAAACCAAAAACAAGAAAAAAAAACCGGCTAGAAACAAATACTAAACAAATGAGTGATGCAAGATGATTGTCAACATTAATGGTCTACATTAATTAATAAATCATCTTGAAAACTGTCAAAATCAAGAATGACACACCATGCACGAATATGGGTGCGACATGGTTGTGCTTTCATAAAATCGCTTATACTTTCTATAAAAATTTAAAGTTCAGGTTCCCCCCTACTTTCGCTAAGGGTATATATCAAAAGACATCTTCTCTATTAAATAATGCTGCCTATTTTTGAGTCATTATAAATATAGGGAAAATTTCTATATTGTTCGTATCCATAGCGATAAAAGCATCCAGTCTCCATACGACGAGGTAGACCCCGGTAGCATTGTTAGGATCTTAATCGAAATAAACTCGTCGAACACATTTTCTAGGCCACTTGTTTCGGAGAAATCTATCTTTCCTCGGGAATAGGACTCATCTAGGTCATTGAGGCACTCACATACATGTCTAGCTAACATACAGAGCGTTCACTGACATGAACGCTATGCAGCACCTCCATAGGCCGCAATGGTGGAAATCCTTTGTCGCACTTTCGCGCACTCGTTACGACTTTTGCGCTCGAAAAACTTATATGAATTACTTCTTTGTACTTATACCTACACGTGCACCATATTTTCGTTATCAAAATATCCAAAAATATATATTTACAAGCCATCAAACATCTCAGTCGATCGCTCACATATGAGCGGGGCCATTTTGAATCACGTGACCTGTGACGCGAAGGGGATATCCCTCCCAAAAATAGTAACACACGTGTTCCATACCTGGTTGCTTGTTGACAACACATTTTCATACATTTTAGGCAATTAAAACGATTGTATGGAGATTTTCGTTTCCAATCTAGACTGACTGACCACCCCTGCTTTTTCAACAGTTGTTTTCAAAGGAATTGCTGGTGACTTTTCAGTGCTTCATATAATATAAGATTATTGCTGTCACTTTCACAGTTCCATGGGTGTCTCTGTACTACTCCTGAATATTTGCCTACAAAACACAGTTTACTAATTGAATTTAGGACTTAAATATTTAATGAGTTCACGAATTAATTATCTATAAATTTCACGTATACCCAAAAACCTTAAATATTTCTCAGTTCACAACTCTCCTACCTTGAATAGTATTTTAAATATTTCCATGTTGTATTAGGTCTCAAGCACCAGCTACAAACCTTGACAAAATCATCTATTCATTTCCGTATTAGCAACCAAGTGGCCAAAAAGTGTTATTTGTCATCATGAATTATTAACAAATACTGAAATAAGGGGATACATCAATAAATCAATTGTTGAATGAGGGGATCATTCAAATTACAGCTGCCAAATATCATACTTAAACTCTTGTGCATACACCATTGGACAGAAGGCTTTGATTTGTTAGGTCAACTGAAGAAAATTCATTTGCTAACATTACAGTACCTCTTATCTTTTGACAGCAAAAATAGCAGGCTTTCCACATTATCAATGAAGTGTTAGTTTAGAAAGTCTGCTTTTCAAGGTGCAATAATTAGATGTTTATTGAGAACATTAAAGAACCACTAAACTTTGTTTTTTGTTACTCTTTTAACCATTACATATGAAAGATTTGTGGTTAGTCTTATGCGGAACACCAAATTTATTCTTTAAAAACTTGTGGTTAATTAATACCGAGCGATTAAAAGTGGCCAAAAAGTCGCCTGCTTCCCTTTCGCCCGCCAACGAAACCACAGACAGGTTACGTAACTCTGTCGCCAGAGCACTGCAGTGACGTCATATGAGGAACGATTTTCAGTTAGTTGTATAGAAAATGTGTAGCACGCTCATCATTTTGATGATTTCTCGACATCAACGACGACATGCCGAAACGTTGCTTTGTCGTCAATTGCTCCTAGGGGTCGGGCGATAGTGTCCCCATGCACAGATTTCCACAGGACCCCGCAGTTCGTGCTAAATCGGTTATCTTTGTGAGTGCGAAGCGAGCGTTGTGGAAGCCTGAAACATATCTTATTTGTGTTCAGATCGCTTCACGGAAGTTAAAGAATCAAAACTACTTACTAGTTGTAGTAAAATATGCATATGATTGATGACCATAAAGATTTTCTATGAGACAACTTGTAACATAACGATTTCTTCCTCGGAAGTGAGGTTGTGGTCGAAGTAACAATAATATTGTAAGTAGTATTATATTGACACCCACCTCGCTGCCACGAGAGAAATTGTTATGTTATACGCTATGTCATGCAAAATATCCTATTGGCCATCAATAAAATACATATTTTACTACCAGTAGAAAGTAGTTTTGATTTTGTAACTCGGTGAAAACAAACCTAAATACCATTTATCCTCAGACTGGCGGATGTTCCCGACAGGGCGCCGCCATTTTTAAAAATAAAAAAATCTGTTAGAATTAATGAGATTATAGTTTGTTTTCATCAAGTTAGAAAATCAAGATTACTTTCTACTCGTAGTTAAATATGTATTGGAATCATAACCAAACGGATTTGCATGACACAACTTATAACATAACGATTTCTTCCACGGAAGCGAGCCGGGGGGGTCGAAGTCACAATACTGCGCGATACATTTCTTGCTACATTCCCATGGTTAATGTCCACTCACCAGTATGTAGATACTAGTCAATGTGCGTCTTTATATTTGGTCTTATAATCCTAATTAGTTTATTATCATACTTGTATGCATTTTGAAACTAAATAAAAAGCAGACGATCTGCTGATACTTATAGTGAATTTATAACAGAACTGTAATATCTAGACATTTTATAGTTTGCCAATGTGAATCATAATTCGCACACACACCCTAGTGCATGTTGTCTGTCTCATTACACTTCACGGCGAAAACAATGATTCTGTTGAATGCTACGACAAATGAATACAAACAAAATGCAAATATTAAAATTAAAATAGATTAAAGTTATAGGAACAATATCAGGCCATTACCTTGTTCGGGGAATGCATCCATCAATATCCACAAAACTGTTCCAAATGATGTGTCTTTTAACAGTTTAATATACGAAAAGTGATAAATCTTTTCAGGTATTGGTGTATAGTCTCATTGGTCACCCAAGATAGCACACCTGGCAACTAATTGCATAATGTCCGCCTTTCTTTAAAAACAGTAATTTAGTTAGCCAATAATGGGCAATCAATCAATGTATTGCCGGTTAATCCTTTGAAAGAAGGACGTTGTTTTTACGCAGACACCGACACGACAGAGTGTATTCAGTATAGATTAGTAAATCTACATACATAAACACTACCTTTTGACAATTCCGCTGTGTAAGATAAAAGTAATTAATCAATCAGCGTGTTATCGGTTAATCCTTTGATCGATGTTTATAATGTTGAATATTTACTCCAGACACAAGAAATGCCAAATGGGAACCTTTGTCGGGTAATCTACGTGTGTTACCACTAATTATACCTGTTATAAATTCATTAACTGACCATCAAGTGAAATAACATGTGTAGGTTTATACCACCTAACACGGGTTACAACAAGAGAGTATGAATTTCTTGTATTGCATGTGAAAACTTATGGGCCGACACTGTTTTGAGAATACAAACAGATTTTTACATGACATGATTAAATATCGAGGTAAAAAAAACACAGAAATGGGATCAATTGGGATCAGTCATTATACAAATAGGGCCTAACGACACCAAGCGATTTTGACAGAATCGTCTATGAAAACAAGTTGTAACTCGGAAACTAGGCAAAGCAGGAGACAAAATTAAATGACAGTAGATTGTGAGAACATATAGCTTTCATTTTCCACAACAATTGTCACGATTTCAGGTTTATACAGGCCTGTAAACAAGATAATTTAACCCCCTAAAATGTAGATGAATTCTGCATCGGCCCTCAAAGCTATTCCTCATATGACGTCACAGAGGCGCGCCGCTCTGATTGGTTGAAATTTCGTTCGCGGGTGAGAATTGTGCACTGTTGTCAAAAAGGTCGATTTAAGTCAATTAAAGGTCGAAATGAGTAGTTTTAATGACGGGGTTTCATTTATAACGATGCCAGTTAGTGATTTATGTATTTGTACCTCCTAGGGTTTATGTGACCTTTAACAATGATAAGGATATGAAATTGTGCATGAAGTTTAATCTTTTGAAGGTATAAGTTTAAACTCATGTTAAATTAAAGTGATAATTAATCATTAACATTGATATGCACTTTATTTACTGGTATTCAAGGTTGAAAGTTGAGAGAAGAAACCATGGATGACACTGTCTGTGCCCATTGCAAGGGCAAGTTCAAGAGAAAAACAAAGGGATGGAAGAGATATAGTTACAGCTTAGTGTTTGACGACATGTCTATTTTTTTGTGAAACTCACTGCTATAACTTATCAAAACAAGAGTCATCAAAAGATGACAAATCCCCCTAGGCTCCAGAAATTTGAAAGAACATCTGACGGTTACTGATAGTCCAACTTGATCTTTTTTACTTAGTCCAAATTGTTTCCATGGAAATCATGAAAAATATAAATACTAAAACTTTGCAAATAACAAAAGGCAC